TTTTTTTTTTTAAAAAGAAAGAAACATTTCTTTTTCTTTTTCTTAACTATGAGATTGAACATTTTTCTTACTCTATCCTTTGTTTTTTTTTTTTTAAGTATGTTTTCATTTTCTTTTTGTAAAAGGAATATCTTCTTAATAGTATATATGACACACACACACACATATGCGCGCACACACTCTCTCTCACACACACATAACACACATATGTATTATATAATACATATTGCAGAAGTAAAATAGAATAGTAGCAGAATCTTTTCCCTTTGTTGGCACCGATTCATTGACCACAATCGTTCATTCGACAAAAGTCCTTGACATAGTATTAAAAAAGACAAGCTTTTTTTTTATCCATTAATTACCATCCATTATTTAATCCAATAATCACATTAATTACCAGCATACATTTCATCAATTCTTTTTATTTTTCTTTTTCTTTTTTGTGATTGAAATTCTTAATTAATCACACAATGTTTTTTTACTAAATGAAAATATTTCAATTTACAATATACGATATGTGTGATAATATTATTAACATCAATTCGATTTCATTTATTCGATTATTTCATATTCCATTCATATTGATATTATTATCATTAATATTATACAAAATTTATTCGTTAAAATTGATTTGTTTATCGAAACAATACGTTGAATCAATTATTACATTAATTTCGGACATAAAATTGATAAGATACGCAAAATAAATTTTAATCGAACGATTGTGATAAATAATCGATCATTTTGATCGAATTAGTATTATTATTATTATTATTACGTGTATTATAATATATATATATATATTTGTTTAAAAATATTTCATTTAATTGTAAAATAACAAGGAAAGAGATTTTCTGCTACCAGTGCGACAAAATGTCGCGTTGATCGAATAAATTGTCAAATAAATTCAATTTTTTTTTTCTCTCTACGTCCATTCATAATTACAATGATTTTTTCGTAACCTTTTTTGTATTTTTTTTTTCTTTTTTTTTTGCATTCTTTTCTGCCATTTTTTTTTTTTTCATGTCTAAGGAACAATTTCGATATAACTAAATTCTCGTATTAAATATGTAAACTATCTACTTGCTAAATACCCGTTTTTTTTAATTCATTTTTTTTTTAATTTATTTTTCTGTTTTTTTATAATTCTAAATTCGTCCTATACGATTAATAATTAAATTAATTAATTTATTATTATTATTATTATTATTATTATTACGTTTTATGAATACGTACGAATGTATAATATATTTATTATTATAATCTACGCATTACATGGTATATCATACGTATATTTACTTTTTTTTATATATATATACATATATATGTATATATTTTAAATATATATGTATATGTATTTATATATATATACGCTAGAATTTTTGGTCAAAATTTTCATTACAATCAGTACGTGCGTTTATGTCGCATTTTTTTTTTATAGTTCGTTTGTTTATATATATATTATATATATATGCATTTCATTTTTTTTTTTTTTTAATTTACTGTTTAAAGAGAAGACAATACAGAGGAAAGAGAGAAAGAGATGAAAGATGAAGAAAAAGTTTCTTTATAAAAAGTTTCAATATTATTATCGAATTATGTTTTAAGCCAAATCTCCCTAACTAACATTTACCTGTTAATTAACTTGTTAATCCTATTGCTAGCTTTTTTTTTTATGGTTCGTTAAATAAATTTTTAATTGAACAAATCGGATTTGAGGAAAAATATGTTTTATGTTTAATTACATTTGACAAATGTTACTATTGACAAATAATAATTATTATTATTTTCAACAAAGTAATCTATGCAACATTGGAAATCATGTTTTATGGTCAATGATTTTTGGCTTAAAGCATAAACGATATTATTTTTATATATACGTGGAGTAGGTTTTAATTAATAATAATAATAATGAAAAAAAAAAAAATTTGATAAAGGGAAAAAAACCTTTCGAATCAATTTGTTTGTTGTTGTTGTTGTTGTTGTTCTCATATTTATTCGCGTTCTCTTTTCGAAACACTCCTCTCCGATTTGTAATTGTTTTATTTTATTTAAATTAATTAATCAAATTTTTCGTCACGTTTCTCTCTTCTACATTGCTCTGTTTCCTCGTTTATTTTATCGTTTATGTATTTGGTGTATATTTTTTATTTTATTTTCATTTTCTTTGTTTGTTTTTTTTTTTTTTTTTAATCTTTTTCATTTATGATTTTTCTACATTGAGAACACTTTGATCAAAGACTTTCATTAAATATCTTTTCCTGGTTTTTTTTTTTTTTTTTTTTCATTTTTTTGAAGTGAAAACTTCTTTAGAATGGGTGTGATTTAAAAAAAAATGTAACGAAGCGGTAGGCAGCGATGTAACGGAGCGGTAGGCGGCGATGTAACGGAGCGGTAGGCGTCTAAGAAACAGTGAATACTGAATGTGATAATAATATAATAATAATAATAATAATAATAATAATAATATAACAAATAAATCCTATAATTATCCTACAGCTGATATTCTGCATTCGTCTGATTCTCTCGAAACTTAGTTTTTTGTTTTGTTTTCTTTTTATCGGAAGGTACATTGATATTATCCTTTGGAAAAAATTTATCAATGACGATATTTTAATCGTCATACTTTAATAATAAAATTGAGTTGTATCGAAAAAACAATGAAATTAATTTCTACTATATACACATATATTTATATACAGACTGTTACTAAACTTTCAACCCTATTCATCAATTTATCTCCGTTCATTTTTATTTTTACGAATAAAATATTAACAATAAAATAAATTCTATTATTAATAAAAAAAATTATTTTTCAACGTTAATTCATTTCTCAAAACATTTACAATATATTCGAAGATTTACAAAAATGTAAATAGAATAATCATCTGAAATAAAAAAAAAAAGAAATTTTCTAGATAATAATTCTCCTTATAGGAATAATAATTTTTTTGTTATAGATAAAAAAGAATAGAAAACAAAAACAAAACAAAACAAAAAAAAAACTAAGAAAAGGAAGATAGTTTACTCACTTCGAAAGGATCATCGATCGAATTGTGTGACATTCCACTTAGACGGTGATGTAATAAGCTCGTGGCTTGTCCTTTGAGATTGTGGGGCTGAAGTAAACCCTAGGGGTTGTTGGTGTGAAAGTTGAACAATTCGCCCAAGCGGGCGGGGGTAACGTGTGTCAGGAGGAATAGTAACCTTCGTGACGTTTACGACACTTTTCACGTGCTATATAGCAAAGTGCTATCGTTATCAATACCGCTATAGCTATTCCCATACCTATACTGATCCATATAATCTCTTCGTTAATTCCACTGTAACCTTTACCTGTAAAATATTATTAACAATTTGCTTTTTCTTTCTTTCATCTCATTTTTTACACTTTCATTTCGTTTTCATTTCGTTTCGTTTCGTTTCATTTCATTTCATTTTATTATATTTATTTCTTTTATACACAAGGGTAAATTGAAAAGTTACGAGCCCTCAAAAAAGAAGTTTTATTTTTAAAAATTGGACGAAACATCAATATACTTGTTTTTTTTTTATTCTATACAATTATTGGAAGTCCATCAGAACCATACACAGAAAAGTTTCCCGTGCATTCGTGTTTATTAATTTATTTAAAATAAAATATATATATTTTTTTTTTAATTTATATAATAGTTTATATAATTGAAGAAAGAGAGATAATAGAACAAAAATATTTATCGTTTTAAGCTCAAAACTTTTCAATTTATTCACATATACGTTAGTTTATTTTAATAAAAAAAAAGTTTAAAAAAAATATATATATTATATTAACGAAAAAGTTGTGTATATAGATACGTATTTATTTAAAAAGATCTACTTTTTGTATGTTATAAAATATACGCCTGAATTGATGCAACCCTTGATACACGTTGTACGCGTAGTGTAGTACGCGAGTGTATCAACAGTTGCATACTTTCAGGGCGCTGTTAAAATTGATATTCTATAGGAACGATGTAAATCGATGCTGCAACCAAGAAAAGATGCTTTCCAAACTAAAGTAACGCGATATATATGTAAAAAAAAAAAAGAAAAAAAAAGTAAATTCAATACATATATTTATATCGGAATGCATATTTATACCAGAAAGAAATATTTTATTTTCAAGATCTATCTAAAAAAAAAAAAAACAAAAAAAAAGGAATAGATTGTGAAGAAGATTTCTCTCTCTCTCTCTCTCTCTCTCTCTCTCTCCCAATTACTTTTATAGCAAATTTCATAATTTATATACACACATCTGTTGGAAATAGGATATTAAAAATGGAATCAAATTTGATAACTTTAAAATGACATTATTTTTCCTTCATTTCGATATTTCTTTATAATTTATATTATATTTCTTAAAAAAATTTATCGTTCTTTCATTCGAAAAGAAAATAAAATATAAAAATTTGCCCTCTTGCACGTGATATCATCATATAAATATATTTCTTTTTCAATTTTTGCGAATTACGTTGAAATCGTAAATAGAAAAATCATTTTTAGGTGTAAAAATTAAAAAAAAAAAAAAAAAAAAAATTTGACATTTCGCAAAAATAACTTTCTTATTTCGAAGAAAATAATGTTGAAAATTATTTCAAAAATTTCCCTTTTACAAAAATTGATAAAATATTTGATAATAGAATACATAAATTGACGTAAATAGAATAAATAAATAATTGTACTTTGAAAATGCATTTACTTAAACGAGTATTAAAAATACATTTTTCGTAATTCTTTCATTAGAAAGAAAAAGAGAATAAGTGCGTGTGTCTGTGTCTGTGTATTAGATAAAACAAACAAACAAACAAACAAACAAACAAACAAACAAACAACAAAATTAGAAAAAGAAAAGAAGAAGCAACATTTTCCTTTCTTCTCGATTTCATCCTCCATATAGGATATCTATACCTAATGCCTTGATATCCACACCATTACCATTGTAATGGGAACTATAAATCCCAACTTTGCCAGCAACACGTCCACCGACCGGCATCTTCTGTTTTTCTATCCGTATTTTTGTTCCTTTCTCTTTCTCTTTTTCTTCTTTCCTTTCTTCTTTCCTTTTCTTTCCTTCCTCCTTTCCTTCCTTAATTTCACGTTTGTCACCTAATAAAGGATTAAGAAAGAACAACAAAAATAACAAGAAAAAGATACAATCATTTTCATTTCGAGACATTCCCAATTAAATGGATGGGATTCATCTCTTGGACGATATAAATGAAATATAAGAAGAAAACGAAGAAATAAACAAAATAATTCGTCAATTTGTCGCAAAGATTAGAAAATAAATTCAAATTCGTAAATGAATATGAAAATAATACGTTTGTTATTTCGTTTTGTTTTTAATTAATATATATATACGATGAATCAAAAGTTCCCGTGTTTATTGTATTAAAACTTTAACTTTGAAACTGTATAATGAATTGTTTATTTTTTTTCTTTTTTTTTGTGTGTGTGTGTGTAAAATTTATTATGAAAATATTCATTAATAAATGCACGAACTTTGTTGGTTCATCATACAATAATTAAAAAAAAAATTAGAAAAAAATACAAAATATGATTGATCAACGTTAGGATTATTTCTTTTTCTCTTTTTTAATTTATTTATTTATTTATTTATTTATTTTCAATCGAATAATTTATTTAATTTAATGATATATCTTTTTTTTTTCTTTTTAATTTCATCAATAATTTATCGATAATAAAGTTTGAAGATTTGTAAATAATTCGTATGATAAAAATGGTTCTTTGTACGTTTTAATTAATTTCTCAGATTTTTAAACAAAAATGTTAAGAGGATATAAAAGAAAAGTTAGAAGTAAAATTGTGCAAAAAGGAATATGTGTTTGTGTATGTGTGTGTGTGTGTGTGTGTTCAAGCACATGAGTTTTCTTTTTAAATTGGTCTACTATAATGATAATACTACAGTTGTGTGCTTTGAAATGTTCGCTACTTAAATATAAAAGCTTTTAAGAAGATTATTTTGTCTTCGAGTAAAAGTGGAAAGATAAGTGTTATCAAACGATAAATCGAACCAAAAAAGCAAAAAAAAAAATACGATATTTCATTCGTAATGAAGAAGAAAAACAAGAAATAATTTTCATTTATCGTAGTTAAAAACGTTTCTACTACTACGTTGAATAACATTGATTAAAATCATAAATTTGCATTTGTGAAAAGTTTTTTTTTTTAAATCGTTTTATGAAAAAGACAAAAACAAAAAGAACAAAAAAAAAGAGAAAAAACACAAGTTTTTTTACCTCGAAGTCTCACTAAGTTGGTGGTACGTCACGTGCATCTCCTTCCTTATGCACCTCTGAAGTGCATTTTCTTCATAAACTCGATCAAATCGAACTGAAACATCGTCAAAAGTTATCCTCGTGTATCATCAAATAAAATCGATATTTTTCTACAAAATACATTTCGAAATATTTGCGAAATCAATTGTAAAATTTTATTCGATTATTTAATATCAAACGTATCATGACATATATGTATTATTGATAAATATATTTTATTGTAAAAGAACATGAATTTTATCGTATAAACAAATGACGCGCGAATTTATTCAATTTTTGTATAAATATGTTATTTGAAAAAGACATAAATGAAAAACAAAAATACCATGACAAAATTTGAAATAATAATATAAATAAAATCATATTTTTATAGAGAGAGAGAGAGAGAGAGAGAGAGAGAGAGAGAGAAAAAATGAATAATTTAATACAATAGAATATTATTCTATAGAAAGATTATTACTTTTCCATAAAGCTTAAATGTATGTAATTCGTGTAAATACGTTCGTGTATCAATGGTTGCATATATTCAGGTATTCTATAAATTGATATTTGTATTCACATAAAAGCCGATTTAAATCGATATAGGTACCAATGAGCGAGAGATTATTTTCAAACATATAAATAATATAAAAACAAACTAAATGACACCGATTTCAATATCCCTTTTAGACTAGTTTGTAGAATTTCTATAAAGTAAGCTTATTGATATTCTCTATCAAGAAATACATTTGCATTGGGGTTAACGTGAATTAATGGAAATTTCAAACAAAAGGATAAAAAGCATTACTACAGAGATTTCTCATACTATTGTTGGCAACTGAATTAACAATAAATAACATTAAATATAGAATATATACATATATACATAGATATATATATATATATATAATATGTTTTGCGTGGAAAATGTGGGAAGTGATGCATAAATATTCAAATCTGTAGAAATGAAATTTGACGATAGACGTTTGTAGAAAATATATGTTATTAATGTTGAAACATTTATATGATCATTATGCAAATATAGATATAGAAATTGATGTTATTAATTTATATTAAATGTATACATTTATATTATAATATTATTAGTATATATATATATATATATATATTATATATATTATAATATATTATAATATATTATATATATTATTATTAATATATTATATAATATTATATATTACTATAATTTATATATATATATCTTATAAATTATGTAATAATTTTCTAATTGAAATTAATCTCTTTAAAACTTTATCTTTAAAATTTTAAATTTTTCTAGAATATGTTCATAAAAAAAAAAAAGATTTAATCTTTAAAGTTAAATAAAATAATATCGGTGTCACATGGATTGTAAAAGTTGATTTTAACGAAGTTCGAATTAATTTCGTTTATCTATTACCAACGATGTATATAACAAAATTTCTTTATAAACTATTCAATTCGATCGTTGTTGAACAAAAAAAAATAGTATAGTTATAAAAATTTAAGATTTTCATCATAAAAAAAAATATATATATGTATATACATGTATACTTGTATGGATAACTTGGTTTACCGAATCTCATGAGATTTACGAGATCCACGAAGACGATCTATCTGTCTTTTAAAATTGTATCCTTGTCGTATCTTTATATAAGCCTCTGATTCAATTTCTTATCCTGTTCGACGTGGTATCTTAAATTTTTTCCTCCTCCTCGTCCTCCTCCTCCTTTCACCTCCCTCCCTTCCTCTCACTTTTCTTAATCCTTTATAAGATAGAATCAATTTTTTACAAAAAAAGTATACAATTTTTCAAGATTTATTTTTATCAAATATTATTTTCTAGCCAGAGATCATTTATTACATTGGTTATTATTATTTTTATACGATATTTATATTAATTGTTTTTTTTATACCAAAAATATAATTATTCATTAACGAGTGGATGAATTTATATTGAACGCTTATTTAAACGTAGAAATTAATTGGAGTTAAAAAAAGAAAAGAAGAAGAAGAAGAAGAAGAAGAAGAAATAATTTATACTTTCATTTATGAAAATCTGGTTTCTACAAAGCTTTAAATTCGAATATAAATTACGAATCTTCAATTATATAATTGGCAATTATAAAATATATAAATATATATATATTAATAATATTCGTGGAATTTACATAAAAGAGGTATAAGAAAAAGGAAACATACAAAATGTTAATTAATTCGTAGAATTATAACGGAAAAGTTATTTTTCACTTATATTATGAAAACAAGTAGAATAATAATTTTCATTACTTTTGTGTGTGTGTGTGTGTCAAAGAAACAATGAAAAAAAAAAAGAAGAAATATATTTATTTATTTATTATCCTTGGAATAAAAAGCACATTTCCATTTTTATAAAGTAATATACCTTCTTCTATTTCTTGAAGTATTACTCTTAAAAGGTTCTTTCTAAAAGTGTATGCCTTATATTTTTCCTTGCTGTTACAATTTAAAACATAATTGGATTCTTGACGTAAGTTTTACTATCTTTTTTTTTTCATCTTATCCTTATTATAAAATTAAAGTTACTCAAAGTATCAGGAGTACGATTATGTATTATATAATGTAATTAAATTATTATTTTTACTTATATTTTTAATTATTTATTAAATAATTAGAAAAATGTGCGCCTTTAGGAATGCAACCCTCCAAACACACTTTGAAAATGTTGCTTGCAAACGCCATCTGTTGGGACGGAATTTTTTTCAAGCCCAAACCGTTTATACACGTATGTATTACGGGTTGCCTATCTTTCGGGTAGAAATAAAAATTCCGTTCCAACAGATGCCGCTCGCAAGCAACATTTTCAAAGTGTGTCTGGAGGGTTGCATTCCTATAGGCGTAATATTTTTTATAAATAATAATAAAAATTTAACTTTAATTTTGTAACTTGTTCGGCACATTTTTAAAATAATATTTAGTATCTTACATGAAAAGGAAATTTTTTAAAGATTGAAATTATTTAATGTCAAACATTTAATGATCTATTGTAAAAATAATAAAAGATTAGAAAATTGTGTGATATTGAAAAAATAATATTCTTTTTAATTCATAGAAAAATTTTCATAAGTTTAAATAATAATATTAATGATTCTTGCGTTATAAATCTCGTTAATGTGAAGATGATGACACACACACACACACACACACACACACGTACACACAAGTTTTTCTTACTTTACCTTACTTTAATAATATTTTTCTTATGACATTTTTTTTCTTCTTTTCTTTTCTTTTTTCGTTGTAGAAACTCGTTAGTTATCTACATCCGTTGCATTCTTGGCTTCCATTTCAGAAAATTTCCTTTTCGTCCCTGGAGCTTTTAAGCTCGACCTCGGACAATTCGATAGATGAGGGTGGTTGTGTAAAGGGTTGTATAGTTAATTTATAGAAATATTATAATAGAACATTCTATTCCTTTATATGTATATATAACAATGTATATGTAAATTAATAGTTTTACATATACTCGTAGTGTTCGTAAAATATTCATGAAAGTTTCCCATTTAATCAATAGTACGGAATATGTAATATATTTATATATAATATAATATATAAAAAGTTATTAAATAATTTTTATTTCAAATTAAACGAGAAAAATTATATTAGTATATTAATTTTATTTAAATTATTTTCCACATTTTAATTAAAATAATATATATATATATATATATATATATATATATATATATATATATATATATATAAAATATAACTTGTCATATAAAATAATTTCCATATAAAATTATACAACGACCAAATTTCATTGAATTAAATTAAAATTGTCTTTATAAACGTAATTTATAATACATCTACCATCATCTACCATTTCGTATGTTTAAATTTATATGCAACTCATTAGATACATTTAAATGCATATTTTAACAGAAATTGTTCAAATATTTTTAGGACAAATTATAAAAGCTTTTCTCTTTCTCCATTTAAATAGCATAGCAATTTACTTCTTCGATCACAAATGCGAATTCTTATGAGTTCTAACGAATGCTTTTTTGTATATATATATATATAAATATATTTATATATACTCCTACACATAACACGTGTATCGAAATATAAAACGTACAACACGTGCATTATACTAATAGCATATATTTACATACACAAACGTACACATACGTTTATACAATTATATACTCGTGTATTAATATACTATACAGCATGCATTACACATACACACATGATCGCATACACTTTATAATACATACACACAGAGAGATAAGTTTGAATCGTTTTATTTCATACGAAGGATACCGAGGTTTCTAGTAGAAGGTTAAAGGGGGATTTTGGGGGGTTGTGGGGAAAGGAATTTTATGACTTGGCACGTGAGACAATTCTGAACCGTATTCATCGGCCTTCCGCAACGATCCGAACAATTAGTAATATTACATGGAACGCAATTGGCCTTGATTATAATAATATTCGACGTATGGTTATCTGCCTAAATTAAAAAGTTTTATATATAAAATATATAGTCTTTATATCTTGTGTTAAAACGATTATTATTATTATTATTATTATCGGTATCAGATATTTTCTCTATTCTAGTTTGATTTAAGAGACACCCTGTATAATTCGTAATTGGTTTAAAGTAAAAGTCTACACTGTAATTATTAAATATTCATTCAAATTATTTTCCTTTTTTCTTATCGATCGAGAACATGTCGAATATTCGACAAAGGGAATTTTGAAAAAATTTGTTCTAGGTATTGTAACGTGACCACGCCCTTTCATAGCGTTTCCCTTTTCAACCAACCAGAGATGCTCATTCTCTCTCACTCTCTCTCTCTCTCTCTCTCTCTTTCTTACATTATGTTTTCCCTCGCAAGATATGCAACCACGTGGACAGTGAAACAAGATAAGATATAGATAGATAGATATAAATATAATAAAACGGTGAAACTTTCATCCAGATAACATTGAAAATAATAAACAAAAAAAAGAAACAAATATTTTCAAAAAAATCATGATGGACAAACAATTAGGTAGTATCGTTGAAAGAAATATTCCATAAAAAAATAAAAAAATAATATCATCCCCTTTTCTATTTCTTTTTGTTTAAATTCGAATTCGTTTGAAAACCACGACAATTAGTCAAAGTTTAACTCATAGGAGGTAGAGGTTTTTCTTATACACCAAGTGAACGATGGGGTTGGATAATACGTATTTGTGTACGTCTATACGTGTGGTTGGTTTCGGTAACCGGCAATGGATAACTGGTGCAGGAAATTTGCCGGAAACGCGATTAGGGTACCATTTAAATAGGAGGTTGATCCGTGAACGAATACATTAGTAGTTATTTTTCCCCAATTTTCATTTCTTTTCTTTTTCATCGTCCATTTATTTTCCTTTTTGTATTTCAATTTAACTATCGATCAATATTCATTAGCATAACGATTAATAGAATCATAAAGTTTAACAAAATTATAAACAATAATAGAATAAATAAAATTATTTTTCAATATTAAATAAAAAAAATACAATTTATATATTTAATTTTGTAATAGCAGAAATTTGGTAAAGTCTAATCTCGTTTGTTTTTATTTTCTATTTTTATTTATTATAGTATAAATAGGAAAATAATCGTGAGAAATAATTCGTGATTATGATGATTGATTATTCACTTTAATGATAAATTTATTTTTAAACGCTTGTCTTCTCTCCTTTCTATCTTATATATATATGTATATATGTTTCCTCGTATATCAAAGTAGTACGAATCTTATTTCGGTCAGACGGCGAAACCAAGTAGAATATATGTGTAAAATGTCAGACAACATTTTAAGTAGTCATACCTTGTTTTGGTCCGTCGTAGGATTGTTGAAATCGACACCGTTCTCTCCCTCTGTGTGTGTGTGTGTGTGTGTGTGTGTGTGTGTATGCGTGTATGTATGTGTGTAATTTTCTGGCAGATAGGTAGACAAATAAGGTGACAAATTTTCCACCACCTTGACAAATGAAACTAAATAAATAAAGGAAAAACAAAATATAAAAGAAAAAAAGAACGAGGATAGAAAAGGAGGTAGGGGTGACGGGGGTAAGTAGAAAGGAACGTGAAAATCAAAAATCGTTGAGTATGAGAATAATACAAACAAATGATGAAAACCGGTGAAGGGGTGAAGAGGTGGAGAGGTGGGAAGGGGTGGTAAGGGAAAGAAAGGGAAGAAAAAATGCGAAATTGAAAGAAATTGTTTAAACAAAGTGAGTACGTAAAGATAAGAGAAAAATAAAAATAATATTAATAATAACAATAATAACAATAATAACAATAATAATAATAATAATAATAATAATAATAATATTTGTAAGCACTAATTAATATAATAATTAATGGAATATTTAAACGGGAGAAAACACTATGATGATCGGTTTTTTTCAGTGATTTCTCGTAATATATGTTGCCACGTTACCGTTAACCTAATCACGTTTAGGTAGAGTAGAGAACGCGTTGATAAGAGGGTGGCTGTCGGGCGACTGCCATAGGAAGCAAAACTATGGAGCTGCGAGGTACGTTCGAGATGGTAGTGGGGGCGGGGGGGTGAATCGACGGGATACCACTGCGAGTGCGAGTGAGAGGGGGTTTGTTCAGAGGGATGGTAGGAGAAAGGAAAATAGATAGGTATATATATATATATATATACGTACGTTTCTATGTAACTTATAGAATATATAGTATTTGTGATTGAAAAACGTAAAATTGTTGGGAAAATGGTAAACAAAAAAAAAGAAGGGGAAAGAATATGAAGAAAGAAGAAAGAAAAGTAGTCAAAGTCGAGGAAATGTTAGACATAAATAGAAAAAAATAAAATGAAATAGAAAATAGTAATGGGATAAAAAGAAAAAAAATAGGGGTAAGAATATTGGAAAAGTATTTGAATCAGAAAGAGAGAGAGAGAGAGAGAGAGAGAGAGAAAGAGAAGGAAGTGAGAGAGTGAGAGTGACGAAGGAATAAGAAAAATATGAGGAATAAAGGGACACACACTAAGGGGTGAGAAGAATCTTTGGAGGATATTCGAAGATGGCGCGACCGTATGGGAGTTCAAAATTTGAGGATAGATATACGCGTGCGTGTATGTGTATGTGTGATGCGCATGCGCTTGTTTTTGCGTGAGGGGTGGAAATGCTAGAGAGAGAGAGAGACAGAGAGAGAGGGAATATTATTGATAGGGGCTGAAGAGGGTTGAGGAGTTAAGGGGGTATGAAATTGTTGGTGGGGATAAAGGTATATGTCTATCGAGCGGGGATTGAACCGGAACTTGTGGTGGTGGTAGTGGTACTGGTAGGAGTAGAGGTAGGGCTACTGGAAGGGATGGTACGCGAATGGTTGCGCGTTAGGGTTTAGGGTTGCCTGTTATTCCGACGTGAAGCGCCGCGAAGGAATACGAACTAAATGTAATCTCGAGAAAAACCGAGAATTAATCAATAGAAAGAGAGAAAGAGAAAGAAAGTGAGAGAGAGAGAGAAAGAGAAAGAGAGAATAGGGGAGCTTACCAGAATCGGCTAAGTATATTCGTGAAGATAAATATAGATATCTATTTGTCTATGTGTTGATAATATAGAAATTTATATACATGTTTTTCGTTTTCGTTTTATTTTTACTTTTATTTTTCTATTTCTTCTTTTTCTCTAACCATACTCTACTTTTTCTTATCCGATTTTTTATATAAGATGGAAATATATATATATATATATATATATATATATATATATATATATATTTATATATACAAGAGAGATAATAAGGAATAAATTTTATTGATTATTATAATTTTGTTTTATTTTTTTTTTTTGTTTATTTTCTTTTCTTTTAGGATAAAGAAGAGAATAAATGTTATTATTATATAGGGATAAATAAGGAATAAATTTGAATTGTTTAACACGCTAACGAAACTTTTCATAAAATATTTCTAAACAAACATTTGTCTAACAAATATTTGTCCGTAAATATTAAATAAAATTAGACAATAATAATAATAATAATAATAATAATAATAATAATAATAATAATAATAATTAAATATCCGATTAATTGTTTTTGTTTCTTGTTATCGAATATTGTTTTTGATTTATTTCTTCATTTTTTTTTAATTTTATTTACTTATTCATCTTCTTTTTATTATTATTATTATTATTATTTTTAAGATAGAAAAGAGGAAAATATAGAAAATTCTAAGTTAAAAATCTGATAAGGAGAAAATGTGGCACAGATATATTTTAAGAATTATTCGTCCATGACGTAAAACAGAAACTTCACTCTCGTGAGATTTAAACGTTCGGGGTTTAGTTGGTTTTGCTTACCAAAAATAAACCAATCAAACTTGTCCACGTAGGTTAACCTTTTGTAGGATTAATTGAAACTTTAGCGTAACATTGAACGACGAATTATTCCATTTAACGAGACATTGGTTTGTGAACAGTTGTTGTTCTTCTTCTTGTTGTTGTTGTTCTTCTTCTTGTTGTTTTATACTTTCAATCTAGAGTTTGAAATTTACTCTATTGCACAAGTTAATTATATAATACACTCTAATTATATTATTCACAATCTTATCTAACATTCAAATATCATTCTAAGAAAAGATAAGATTAATTAGATTTAATTAATAAGATAATTAAATCTTTTATTTTTTTTTTTTTTTCATATATATCAATTCAATAATTATTTATTATAATAAATGATACACATGAAAATAATTAATATTAAATTAATATACTTTTAGGGTGTGTTAATGTCAAATCAAATGAATTCCTTTTGTTTATCTCGAATCTAATTTGAAATTCTTAATTGTTCATAACAAATCATTTCAATTTTAATGTTATATAATTATACAAGTTTTTAAACTTATGCTTTATAATATTATATATAGTTACTATTTTGTTTCTTAAGTTGTTTGAAATATGTTCTCACTTTCTTAATTGATTTAATTATAATATATCTAGACTAGTTTTTATCTTTTATATAATATATATTTTTTTTTTTTATATTAAATGATTACATAAATATGATAATTATAATATCGGTTTATCATTTAATGTGTAATTCTCGTAAAATATTAAATTACCTTTTATCTCTCTCTTTCTCTAACTCTCTCCTTCTTTCTCATCAAGTTGGTTAAATTGGAGAGAGATAAAGTTATAGATTATGGTATATATACTTGAGCCCTTGGATGAGACCGTACATGATTCTGTTACATGAGCACGTATATGAACCCGTTACATTGACATGATTACATTAACACTGAAGTATCGTTTAATCTAGGGTTTCTCAACTAGTACTCTGTGTGTGTGTGTGTGGTCAAACTTTTGGGAATTACATGGAAAACTTAAACAAAAAACTTTTCATCCTAGAAAAAAAAGAAATATGTAAAATGAACGAGAAAATCCCCACTTGACATGGTTTAGAAGTTTTTTCTTTTTATAAATAAAAAAAAAAAAAAGAAAAGGAAAGAAATACTTTTTTTTTTTTAAATAAAAATAAAACAAAGAAAATAAATTCATTTTTTTTTTTTTTTAATAAATTGATCATWTATAAATTTATGTGTAAATAGTATTATAATTATAAAAAGAGAAATATTTATTAAACTAATATTAGGTCGAATCATAAGTAACTTCCGATGCGATTATGTAGAATCTATTTTTCGTATTTACCTATTATAAGTCACCGAAACAAACGGATTTTTAATATCACTATATAGATGAGGATTTAGTTAGTCTTCTGTTAACTTTTTTTATGCAGTCAATGTTACATTTAACCGTTTTTCTTAACCACTGAAATGGATACTAGTAAAAAGTGCATTTTCGACATGTAATGTTTTAGGAATTGAAACAAGGCAATAGTACTAAAGTGGCAACTGAAAAAATATACAGCGTATACAGTGCAGGACTGATAACTGATAGGGCAGTCAGAAATTGGTTTGTAAAATTCCGTTCTGTAGATACGATC